CCCCAACGTGTGATAAGAGCTAGCCCTAGTTATAGCCCCACCATTAATATTTACCTGGTGAAGATAAACACTAACGCTTCATTGTTACTGCCTTTATATCTGTGTTCAAACACTAGGTGTTTACTCTGAAATATTGAATCAGCTTCTATCCTGTTATAATGTAGGTCACACATGACTGCACCGCTATGTACTTAAACTTTCTAGCTATATTTGTTGTAGGTACTTGAATGTGGAATTAAAAATGTCCTCTATAAGGAGTAAAAATGCGTCCTATATAAAGAGTCCTTAAATAAATATGACCCAGGTTGTTTACAAGTTTTGTATTTCAATGGTTATGAGAGATTGTGCTGTGGGCGTGTCAGCTGTGCTGGCCTATTTACACAGGCAGTGCTTTAAATAAAAACGTTTTATGCATGCAGACTTACAACTAATACCACTCCCCTGGCTGGTATGACGCATGCTGTGTCTGCATTTGATATAATCATGCTATTGCAGCACTAAGAGATGTGGTTTAAATGTATTCACTCCTGGGACGTCACTGGAAAACCTGTGTGGTCTATAAAGAATTGACAAAACACTCCACGGGTTACATACAGAATGCCTAACTCTTGATAGATTTTTGACGCTAAAACCTTTGGTTGGTGCGTCAAATGTTATTTTATCCACAGTCATGTTATAGCATGTGTTTGTGAATTAATGCGAGATACCATGTACAGTGATGTAAACAAAACTCGGCCATTAAAAGTACATAAGATCCACATTCATAGTTTACCCTGCTACAGAGACCTGTACCCAGGGATGACACCTAGTACGTGCTCCCCATTAAACAAATTGCTTCCTGATATCTTATTTGTAATCATAGTGTAGAATCAAACTATTTTACTCCAGTATATGTTGCCAGAAGAATGTTTATAACCTGAAATAACAGTGGGAACATTGTCTAGAAGATGATAAAAGCTGTAGTTGTAAGTGTTGGTAGCAGTAACAGACAGTTACAGCCTAACTTCAGTAGTTTCTCTGATCTATCCTGTATCATTATAGTCTCGGTATTGTCATTTTAATCAGGTCTTATTCCTGTAGGCTTTAACATTTTATTGTTGGAATCAATATTGAAAAAAAACATTTCAAGTGTTACTTTGTCCTTTATGTAACTGTACATAATGCGGCGACGACATCAAACGCGTTTCCACAAAGGCAGGATATTTTTTATTACTGCAGGTGGAAGTTATGTGCACATGTTCTTTGTTAGGTAGGACTGCCTTCAGCCCTGGTAGGCCTCTACCCAAGAAGCTTGTGGGTATGAAACCTGAGTCCCTGAATTTGACATTATGGCAAAGGTCAAACCACATGGTAACTAACCCCACACACTTTTACTTTCCACATAGTGGTATGGTGTATCCCTACACGGTGTATCAGAGTCTCATAAAAATAACTCCAGCTTACATTGATCCCTTAATGTTCTACCTGTCTGATCACATTAAAACTTAATAGCCGGCTATATAACAGGATAATATTGGAATTATGAAATATATATGGCTTGGATTTATTACTAGTTAGAATAATGGGAAAACATTGTAACAGTATAATCTTGAGGTGATGCCTGTTTAAAATAGACCGGGGGGGGNTTCTGTAATGATACATAAACAAATGTCTACTGTAGCTCTATATGTTGAATTTTATTGGAGTCTATAAACAGGTGTTTTGTTTCTGTACATGTTAGCTCAGGTTTACAACAGTACAGGATCTAGTTCTGCATGCATGCATGGTAGTACACCTACTGCATGTCTGCATAATTACATCGCTACCCTCATTATGTATTGATGAAGTCGATGGTACAGTAGGTACACAGCTATTTTTGAACCGTATAGATTGTCTGTAGAGAGACACGCAGGCTTGGGTAGAGATTAGCTGGACACCGTGGTATATTCTAGCACCACTGTATTATTTATACTGCACTTACAAGGCCCTGCCTTTCCAATCAAACTTCATCAGCTCCAGTATTTACTTCTTATCAATCTTACCATCACATGCTCAGAAGAGATCAAATTGTTGCGGAGATATTTTTAGTCTAGGTCATTTGAAGGACATAAACGAAGCACAGACCAGCAGACTAACAGGGGCTTAGGGGGTTGTCTCAAAACACTACAGGGTTTGGTAATGGGGATCTGACATATGTTAATTTAGATATTGTTGTAATATATCAGTGTCTGACATTTTCAGATTGAAGTCATGTAACGTTACCTGACATAATTTTAAATAGATGAGAAATTACTTTCCTGCCTAGTAACAATCTGTTATCTTTCAAGTCACGCCACATACCTGTGCATAAGTTTGTAAACAAAAGGAATTTGTTTTTATTATTAAACAAAAATAGAATTAATCTGCACACCGCTGCACAGACAGAGAATAAAATACTTCTGTTAATGATGCTCTTATAAAGCACACTGTATAGTCCGGTATTATCCGTCATTGGTGATGATGTATATATTCTTTATCATCCCACCTGATATCCTACGTCAACTTTATTGACATGACCTAAAATACATGGCTATATAGAGACCTACTTATGAAAGTAACCTTCAATTTTGTTGCATAACCCAATTTTGTTAGTGATGTAGATCTTATCCAGCATTTAGAGCATTTAGTGGAAAGGGTTTAAATTCCTATATGTAATCTTTTTGGAGAGTATGGCATCTGTCATGAAAAATTTCTTAAATTACTTTTTATTTTTGTGAACCATACAGTCTGGAGTTATATTTGCCATGTAGCTTACTGGGATGAAGGCTATCAGCTGTGTTCAATAAATTTCCTTGAACCACATTCAAGGTCACAGGGGTCAAACATGTAAAAATGAATCTTCTAACAACTTCTTGTCAAGTACCCAAAGACCTGAAGTCATATTATTTGCCATGCAGCTTGCCAGGATTGAAGGCTGTCAGCTTTATTCAAATAAAAGATATTGACCCACTTTTGAGGTCACAGGTCAAATGTGTTTTCTACAGAACTAGGAGGTCTGGCATCAGTTGCCAACTTGAAAGTTGCATCGTTTGTTCATCACACAAATACTTATCTTCTCAACCAATTTCTATGAAACCTGGTACACTTGATTAGTACCTTGGGTAATTGTATCTTTGCGACTTATTTTTACTTTTTAACTCATAAGATTTATGCCCCTTTTTAAAATCAATGTGAGAGTAGGGGTATTAGTTTGCCTTTCCCCTGGAGTTCTACTTGTTATTGAGTTAGATAATTGAATGTTAATCTCTTAAGAATGAAGTTGTGATTCCACTTCTATGTAATGTCTATCTCTTAAGAATGAAGTTGTGATTCCACTTCTATGTAATGTTAATATCTGCAATCCAAAAGTTAATTGTTTTTGTATTTTTGAAATCCAATGGTTTCACTCTATGCCTGTATGTTTATAAGTTATACCCTGCTATAGATAATCAGATGTTGACAGTGTTCGCATTTCTTGGCTCACAGTTAGGTACCTCAAGTTTTTCACAAATGTTGGTAGATTTCATGAATGAGTTCATGTGTCTGTGATGTATTTTACTCGCCACCAGACATCAAAGAACTTAATTCCTGTGCTGGCTAAGTATATGTCTACCACCTGGCACTTGTTAGAGAAGATGTAAAAGTATCAAAGTGTCTGGCCTACTATATAGACAGATCTGGTGCTACATCAAAGCTCTAGGGCTCCACCAATATAACAACACATTGCTATTCTAATATATCTGTTGATGCCATACCATGTAGCCATGCTTGATAGTGTCTGTAGTTTCACAAAATTTGAACTTGGTATCTTAACTACCACTTTTCATTAGTTATCTCTTTTTAATCAAAAGTTGTTATGATTCAAAGGAATTGCTCTAATGTGTGGTTTATGATTGGAGATATTTACAAGTATCATACATGAATGACTATTTATCACATACAGTAACTGACCCATTTTACTATGTCATACGACCATAACATAAGTTTGGTATTACACATGTGTAATAAAACCTGAGGTGCTGTGCTAGGTGAAAACGTGGGAACACATTCCTATGCCAGTACAGATATAACTTCTATTTAGCTGCATTTTTTTCTGACAAATTTTCAAGTTTTTGCTATAAATAAATTTTCAGTGTCACTTTTGTCATTATCGTTTTCATTGCATTTAAAACTGTTAATTATTAAAAACAAAAAAGTCTGGAACTACTTGGCATTGCACGAAATGGCAATGCTATGATCAGAGTACTTTTGTTTTGACCTTTATAGAGTCAGGTGATGACTCATAATTTTGTTTTGATTTTTTTTTTACAAATTCTGAAAGTTACGTGATAAACAAAATCTAACATGTGTGTCCATGTCATATTGAATTTATTAAACAAGTTCAATAAATTGATATGACACGAGACTTAAGTATTCATACATAAATGACTATTTCCTGTTTGTCATAGAGGTGAAAAACAGTTGGTTTTTGATGAAAAAATGGCCTCGTGGATATTTTATCTGTTTCGTCGGCCATTTCTCTCAGCTAGACAAATCCAATTAAAACCTGGAAGATTGTGTGTTTACTTAAAATCAGGAATCATATCTAGGCTGGGCCGCCATCTGGACATTATCTTGTTTTGCCAATCATAAAATTGCTTATCTATTTCAGCATCATACTGGGAGTATGATTACGACATGCTAAGTTATAAGCATTTAATGGTGTGTTGGAATTTTAGAATGATAAATAAGAATACATTTTCGAAGAAAAAGGAGTGTGTTGTCTAGGTCATGGAATTGCTTCCAACATTTTCCAAATTTTGAGTTTTGATAGACCACAAAAAAGATAGCTATAGAGGTGAAACGACCACACGCCCACCTGTTGATGGATCAGTCGACCATTGAAATAACAATCAAACTGTATCCTATACCTACAAGTAGTTAACTACCAAAATAAAGATAAATTGTATATCTTTTACTGTAAAGGAATCCTGTCTCACAGTGCTGTATTTGTTGTGCTTCAGGATGGTGATGAGAACAAGGCTCAGACACTGCGGCGCTTCCCTCAGGCTGGCCAGGCTATAAAGGCGTGGCACGACTACCAGGACGGTCAGAAGATCCTGCTGACCACACCCTCGGTACTGGTGGGGTACCGCGTGGAGGTATATCGTGCGGAGGGAACCACCCAGTGGTACACTGCTGTTATACAATCCTATAACCATACTTCCAAGGTGAGTTGTCTCCACCCATCTCCCAACACAAAATCAGGATAAAATTATGTTTTCAGACACCGAAAGTATAAGATTCTCTTGGGATAATTCAAATCTTTCATAATTGATTTCCCAATGCTCTGATAAGTGTTGATAAGAAGGTAGACTGGGATAGCCATGTTACCATGATAGCTCTGACAGGAGGCTATTACTTCTAACCATGCTGCACCTTGTTGGTCATAATTCTACAACTACACATACAGAACTATGTTACCCCTTTCCATAAAATATAAATCCTAGAAAAAATTACAACCACACAAATACAGAACCACGTGCCACTTTCCATATAAAGTAAGTCATATACGTGACAGGTTTCCATTGTACCCAAGATAACAGTCGCCTTCTTGATTTGCACTAGGCGGAACTTCCCTTTAGCTCAACTTGTAGAGCAGATTCAATCTCCAGTGGAAGCCAACACTATTTTTCTTTCCTGTTACATAAAAAATAACATTCTACAACGACACAAATTAAGATTCATATTTTATGTTGTCCCTTTGCCATGGGAATTCTGTATTGAGTTAGCTATGCCAAACCTGTAGGTCTTTATCCTGTGAGGTGAAGTATAGTTAGAAGCAACCTACCAGTACTACCAGACAGACTATAGCTCTCCATCTGTCTGTCAGTCAATCTGTGTGGCACTTTGTCTGGGGCATATCTGGTATTCTGTTTCACCTTCAATTGCCAAATTTTGTATTTATAATTCTTGAAATGCAGCTCTTGTGTCCCACATTATACAGAGTTATGGACCTTTATTTTCTATTTTGATCTATGCATAAAAACTATGTATAGCTAGCCATAGTTTGTCTTGTTGATTGTCAGATAAAGGATTTGATTGTCAATCAAATCAGCATTACCTGCAGTAGTGTGTGGTTATAGAGGAAGCTCTTTACCAGTCCCCTGACAGTCTTAATCTTCATACTGTTTTATCTAACTTGTCTAACTCTGAGTGAACATCTCATCACAAACATTACCGGTTGCCAAATTTGTTATGGATATTCTGGAGAAATCATACTAATTCCTAGCCAGAATATATCCTTCTAGCATGTAATGTATGTACCAGCACAGTTGTGGTTAAAGAAACACGCGGTTTTCAAGGACACCAATTCATCATAGCAGCAACAAATTAACCCAAAGATCAATGCTGCAGACTTTACATTTGCATTTTTCCTGGAGTTGCCAAGACAACCAAACCTGTAATGCATAGTGATGGGGGATTTAATTCCTATTTGCAGCATAATTTGTTGGAAGCACGATGGTTTGATGGCTAAATTGACAATCACAGAAGCCTACATAGCTGTGTAATTGGCCAGTAGAGAATAGGTTGTCACCTGTTTTGCTTTGATCATAGCCTCTGAACTCCCTGCATCTGATTCAAAACAAATTATTTTGGTGTGTTCTGAAAAGATTATACAGATTGTGATGAAATGTTACTTTTCCCTTTGTGCGGTAAACCGCTCCGAAATGTATTGGGTTGAATTTTAAAAGGTTTTGAATTCAAAGAAGTCATTGGTGTCCAAAAAATTTAAACGTGATTCATGTTCTTTATAGTTTCTAACAAATCAATAAAACAGTGCCTTTTAACTTGACAATAAAAGTAAAAAATAAATAAAAGCTTGATTTTCTTTCTATATGGCTTTGGTCTTTGAATTTTCTAGTTATGTTATCAGATATGGCTTGCCTAGACCCTATCTTTACACACATTATAAATTACTAGATAGCGTGTCATGTCAGTTGGAATCCTAATATAAAGGTCAAGGTCACAGTTGGAAATAGAACAGGTTGACTGCAATCTTGGAAATATGAGGAGCAATTTTGATCAGAGGTCAAAATAAAAAAAAATCATTAGGTACTCAACTGCTGAAGACATAATGATGAATAATTTTAGTACTGTTTGTATGATCTTGATCCTTTGGTCAAAACCGCCATGAAAAGGTCAAGGTTATCCCTTTGAGCATATTTCTGATAAACCATACAAGCTGGTTTTCATTGAAGGTAAATACTCACACCCTCTGCAACAAAGTTTACAGCAGGGGGTACTAGAATCAGATTGTTGTCTGTCTGACATGGTCCTACACATCTGTTCACACTAAGTTTACAGCAGGGGGTACTAGAATCCGATTGTTGTCTGTCTGACATGGTCCTACACATCTATCTGTTCACACAAAGTTTACAGCAGGGGGTACTAGAATCAGATTGTTGTCTGTCTGACATGGTCCTACACATCTGTTCACACAAATTTTTCTGGACTACTGAAGTTTTACATTTATTTCAATGAATGCTTTGTACACTTTAACGATTAACAAGGAATTGTTGTAAACTATGTTATTTGTTTTTCATTTCAACACACTTTTTGCAGAGTTTCGCCCCTTAACAGTTTGAATCTGTCCTGACTTCTCCTAAACTACTGCATATATTTTAAGGAAACTTTGTACATTATAATATTTTAATTTTCCCTATGTACTGTATAGATGTCAATGAAGTTCTGTGGCCTTGATCAGTATGCAAGATATGTGTTAGCTATATGCAATATGGTTTTCATAGAATGTTAAACTTTCTTTCCCTGTAATGTTGGTCATTCAAGACATCATTGTTTTACTCATTCAAATGTTTTATAACTGTACAATGCTCCCAAGGTGTGAGCTGTAATGATTTATTGAATCATCAGACCAGGCTATTTATCTTAAGGTAGATTTGATACAGCTGACCAGAGGTGAAGGGAGCAACAACCCTTAGGACTCCAGAGCCGATTACAAACAATCGTCAGAAAGTACAACTGGTCTGAGGAGTTCTCCGGCCCACATGTCAACAACTACTTATAACAATGCATTCAGGAACCTAATTCCTCGCTCAGGCCCAGAATCATATAAAAAAGTCAGACATTAATTATTTGTAGATTTAAATGTGCTGCTGGTTATTTACTTTGCAGATAACATGGTCTTTCATGCCAGTTGATTGTAGTGGGGTTTTTGTAATTAAATGGCCCTGTGTACAGTGACTGGAAATGTCATTTTAATTGAGTAGCTACACACTTGAATGCGCTACCTTGCATGTTCTGACAGGGAACCTGAGAGGTTTTATCACCACCTGATATCTGCCCAGTCTACAATCACTGAGACTTCACCTTTCTACTGGATTTCATGTTACAGTTTAGTGGAATGTACACAAGAGATTTTCTGTTTGACATTGAAAGGAGACATAACACTGGCAGGCCACCTGCCAAAGAAGAATCACGTTTCTTTTTACTCCTATTTTCTGCTAGCCTGCGTGGCCTACTGCTCAGGATCACTGCTCTCTGTGATATATACATTGTGGGTGAGCAGCCGCCTCTGTAACCTGGCCACGGTACTCGTGGAAGGAGTGCTGATGTCGTATTGCAGTGACAGTTTTCAAAGTAAGAAAACTTTAAAAGTAAGAAAACTTTAAAAAGTCGGTTTCTGGGAAGTCTAGAACAGGAAAAAATAGGTGTTGTTTGGTGCAGATGTGCCACTGTTTAGAGAACAGTTTGAGCTATAGTCGATAGCCATGATGTAATTTGTGGTTGAAGGTGATTTGGAACAGCTTGTGTATGTTGTACACCTAGGAACAGGTGTTGGTGGCCTTATCTCACAGATAGCACTAGGAATGTGTCCACAAAGGGTTATCCCTGTCCCACTGATAGGTCACACACTCCAAGACCTGCTTCAAATGCCTCAACCCAAGATACACTTGTGATACTAGATTACAAATTTTGGCACATAAATCATCAGGATACTTTACTTATTCAAAACAAGACTTTTTGATGAATCAATCTTTACAAACAGGTGTCTTTAGTAAAGATCATTTTGGAAAACAAGGTTGTGTCTCCACCCACAAATTTCAGATAACCTTGAACTGTTTTTTTGGTATGACATCAATGAAACCCTTACATACACATATACTATGTTTTAAATATTTGTGTAGAGTTTTGTGTTCCCTGAAACTGTCATGTGAAGAAAATGGCAACTCTAAGATCTTTTAAAGTGCCATCTAAAGAAAATGACATAATCTTTCCAAATGTTTTGTGGTTTCATTAATCTTGCAATCATTTGATGTCTACTGTTTTATAACATTTACCCTAGTTGTTGTATCTGTTCGAAAAGTCTCCTGACATTAACCCTAGTTGTTGTGTCTGTTTGAAAGGTCTCCTGACATTTACCCTAGTTGTTGTCTGTTTGAAAGGTCTCCTGACATTTACCCTAGTCGTTGTGTCTGTTTGAAAGGTCTCCTGACATATACCCTAGTTGTTGTGTCTGTTTGAAAGGTCTCCTGACATTTACCCTAGTTGTTGTCTGTTTGAAAGGTCTCCTGACATTTACCCTAGTTGTTGTATCTGTTGAAAGGTTTCATGATATTGTGTCTGATAAAAAAAACTGATGATATGACCCCAAGTATTGTTTCTGATGGAAAGGTCTGATGACTTTGACCCCTGGTTTTGCATCTGATGGAAATGTCTGAAAACCTTGAACCCTAGTATTGTGTCTGATGGAATTGTCAGATGACCTTGACCCCTGTTATTGTGTCTGATGGAAATTATTTATGAAGACCTTGACCCCTGGTTTTGCATCTGATGGAAATGTCTGAAGACTTTGACCCCTGGTAGTGTGTCTGATGGAAATGTCAGATGACCTTGACCCCTAGTATTGCATCTGATGGAAATGTCTGAAGATCTTGATCCGTAGTATTGTGTTTGATGGAAATATCTGATTACCTTGACCCCTGTAATTGTGTCTGATGGAAAGGTCTGATGACTTTGACCCGAGGTATTGTGTCTTTTGGAAAGGTCTGATGACCTTGACCTTAGGTATCGTGTCCTATGGAAATGTCTGAATACCTTGACCCCAGGTATTGTGTCTGATGACTTTGACCCCAGATATTGTGTGTGATGGAAATGTCTAAAGATCTTGATCCCTGGTATGGTGTCTGATGGAATTGTCTGAAGACCT